CCGCTCCTCCCACCCCACCCCAATCTCCTCACCCCCGTCAGCGAGTACAGGGAGTAGGCATGACAGAGGGAGCCTCAACATTTTGCACATACCACCCACGTTGTCATGACAAAGTGCAGAGCGATCCCCAGCGACTGTAAGTCGCTGGTGTTGTCAGGCATTCCATGTGATATTTTGAATCTCGGTGCTTCTTGTTTACATCCCGCAGTCCCAATGAAATGCAACTCACGGCGGTTTCCATTTTGGTCGAGTGACAATTGATGTGGCGGTCACGTTATATCTGCTGTCCAGGGAGTGATTAGTTACTTTTTGACCCCCTGAACTCCAAATGCGTGGTCATTTGATCCGGAGATAATAGCTTGAAATCATGTTGATGGGGTGTCGGCTAGCAACAGGGAACGTCAATTCTCTCGTTGTCATGGTGAACTTGGTTTGCGTATTTTAAAGGTTCATCAAGGGTTCAAATGATGGGGCCCAGGTGGCCTCCCACATGCTGCGCCCATATAAATACTCTAAATGTTATATTTTGTTTGCGCATCATATCTATACAACATTTATTTGGCAAACTACATTTACCGATCACTTTCGAATAGCCCTATGAATGCGACTCTTCTCTTTCAGGCCACAACAAAAGCCCAGGACCCATCTCGGGAGGCATGTATTCGCGCCGACGTCCGCGTACCCCCGGCCACTAGCCAAATGTGCGCCAATGACAACACGCAAGGCCTGCTCTATCCCCCCAGTGAGTGCGCACGTGTCCCGGTCACAGCTCCTCATCTGAATTGAACTTGACATGTTTTTAGAATTGTGTTGTCATGTCAAAAGAAACGGCACACTGACGTTCCGCATTTAGTCGTTTGGTTGTAAGATACGAATAAAGCGATGCTGCAGCACAAAATAAGCTAATTTTTTTGGGCGGATAGCATTTTATTGAAGAAAATCTTCACATTTCACCGTAGTGTATCATACTACGGTGTTTTTTTCATCTATTGCTTCTTTTTTTGTTTGTTTTGTTTTGTTCCAAAAGGCCTCAATGTCAAAGATGGTACGCCAGACTCACTCATCACAAGCAACATGGTGCCAATGTACCCCGCGTTTAAAGGTGAGGTACATCCATCTTGGTGTATGAGTTTGAAAACATGCCCTATGAAATAATTGGCTATGCAACGAGGTGCAGAAATATCTGGACAATCAAAACTTTTATGTTTTTTGCCTTCCTATAGCACATGATCCAAAGCATGCCACATCATGTTGAAAAGTGATCATCGACACGCTAAACACATGACGCTAAGGAGCGCACATAACAGGCTGTGTATTTTCCTCTTCCATCAGATGTTTGGAACTATTTCCACGGTGTGATGCTCCCAAAGTATTCGGAGCAGTTGAATGGCGTCAACGTTATGAGCGGCCCGATATTTGATGAAGATTACAACGGAAGAGTCGATGCCTTCAAGACCCTGACGGCGTAAGTCTGTCACACATTTTGCCGGATCTGCTCGAGTTTCAACTTGAAAGTACAAAGTCTTCATTAAAATAATCCAATAATGTACCGGGTCCCTATTCCAAACAATCTGGGTCTACGTCAATTTATTTCTGAAAAATAACAATCATGGCATGACTTGCACCTTTCTCCAGAAACGAGGCCCCCAAGCCGACGCATTTTTTCCTGATCCTGACCAGTTGTAAGAATTCCACGTTTGGTCCCGGTAACTGTGAAGGTCCCCTCAGGGTCAAGTCCTTCATCCTCCCACACAGAGCTGACTACACCGAGAGCTGCGGCGTGAGTATCGCCAACAACGCGTAGCTGAGACGCCTCAACGGCTCCTCCTCTAAACTTATGTGACCTCCCCTGTTCATATGTAGACCGGTTCAGATTTATCGTGGACGCAGGACTGGATGCAGCTGCACATGGCCCGCGCCCGTGATGTGGAACTGCTGACTGGACTGAGCTTCTACCACGACAGGTTGTCCGTGGAAGAGACACTGCAGCTCAAGACTTTTTTACATACTGTTTGAAGTCAATTAACGGTCGGTTAGATGCATTTGGTCCACTCGGTGGCTTCACTTGGTGCCTCATTTCTTAAAAAAAAAAAAAAAAAACTGGTGATCCTAATGTTCAGGTTTAACTTTTTATTTTTTAGGATTATGGCACTTAAAATGATTGTTGTACATACTCAACGCCATACATCGGTTGTAGATTTTGTTCATCGTGTCATGAAATGACTTTAGTTTGCCTCTAGAGGCCAGAACCAAAGATGGGCTGTTTGAAACTTGCTCAATTGAAATGTGTGTCCATGGTTTCGAAGGAATCTTGCCCGTAAGTGCATCTCAATCATTTAGAATATCGTGGAAAATTACAATTATTTCAATCCTGTATTACAATTCAAAAACTCAAATTTATTATACAGATGAAAATAAATACATCGGAAAGAGTTTGTAGAAGTTTCCACCTCCCTTCTGCATTAACTAGGGATGGGCGAGTACCGATACCAAGTATCCATTCCAGGCTGATACTGGTCTTATTTCAAGATATTGAAACACACCAAGGATGCTGATACCAGCCACAGATACTTAAAGCATCAAAAAAAAAAATCAGCTGTCATTTTATTACTTGAAATTTTATGTATCAAAAGGTACAAGTAGTATCGGTTTTTGGTATCAGTGCGTAGTCGAGGAATACTTGTACTGGTATCGGTCTGAAAAAAAAAATCCTTCGTATCAACAATCATATTGATTGCCAAATTTCTTGAGATGGTAAATTTGTGGTCCTCACCCTGCCATATCATATCCATGTTTTGATTTTTTTTTTCTATGTTGTGAATCGTGTTCCTCAACTTGTGAATCGTAGCATGTGCACGTTTGCACATGGTCTCACATTTGAGTGTGTAGACCTTAGAATGTAAAGTGCCGGTGTGTGTGTGTGTGTGTGTGTGCAAGTGTGTTTGCGTGTGTGTGTCTGTGTACTGTATTTCTGGACTTGTGTGGACTCCCATATGACTGGGACCCAAAATTTGTTCCGCTCAAGTGTGAAAGCAATAACGTTAAACATGCTGTTTGAAGTCATGGAAGGTTACATAGCAGGGAGGAGACTGTTTTAAAAAAAAAAAATGTGAAGATTGTATCAAAGCATGGTAAAACCAATTCGGTTCACCGATCTTCTTGTGTGTCACCGTATGTCCACTCTGTAGCTGCGTGACCGCGGTCCAACTATTTTCCTTTTGGTCAGTTAAAAATGAATCTATTTTGTGACCGTACAAATCCTTGAGAATGCTTTTAAAATGTTTTTACAGAACTCAAGTGTTAGTTTTTTTTTTTCTAGCTGTACCATTTTGTTTTAAATTAATAAATCCATACAGTGAAACTTGTAAAGTCTAGTGTCCCAAAAGTGGTACAATTTTCTTTAAAACATAGTGTTAGAACTGAAGTTTGAACCATCGCCTTGCAACTTCAAGATATCGTGTCCGACTTGAACCTTAAACTCATCCTTTTCACTTTGTGTCTGTCGGGCATCATTAATTAAAGGACTTTACATGAATTACTTTACTTTTGTGATTGTTTTTATAATAATCCACACTCCTTCAAAACCAATCATAAATACGAGGACAATCATCTGGTTTTGCGTGTTGTAGTCTTGAAGTCCCCGTCGAGTGAAAACGTCTTCTAAAGTTGACATACCATTGAGATGCATTTGTGTGACCCAATTTGCTCCTACCTTCGAACTGCGCCCCCAAAAATGTTGCACACTCTGAAATTGGCTAAAGGAAAACACACCCAGGAAGCGTTTGTCACAGATTGCAGCGGTGCGAGTACACAAAAAAAAAAAAAGGAAGGAAGGAAGGAAAATGAGTATGAAGGCAGCGATCGCATCTGCATGCTGACTTGTCTCTGGTCCGCTGAGCCAGAAGGTAAGCACTTCTAGTTTGTACCATTTACATTTTTTGTATCATGACAATTATTCTACACTCGAGGAGAAGTGCCCAGTCTGTCTCATTTAACAAAGCCTGACTTGTCAGACGATCGTCTCGTTTTTGACATTGTTCTGGCTGTCAAGCTGCACGATATGGACTTTCTTCTCCCTCGTGTCGTGCCATTGACAGTACATGATGGCACTTGCCTTCTGGATTTCGTCTGTAAAAAGTTCTTTAAAAATGTCATGTCAGGGCTAGTCAGCGATGTGTGCAACCAAGCCTGAGAAGACAACCGTGAGAGTTTACTGTCATTTGGACGGCGGTGGTCATTGTGGCTTGTTTTTAAGACCGTTGGTGGGGTTGGGGTCGGGGGCTTTCAGGAAACTCAGCATATGGCGAGGAAATACGTCAGCTGCCTCATAGTCAAGCATGAGCCGGCAGTGTGTTTTCGCTGCTCGGACGACCCGTCATCGCTTCAGAAATGCCAGGCCAATGAGTCACCACAAAGCATGTAGCATCATTTCCATCCTAGTACTGTTTGTGTTAGTGTGAGAATTTAGTTTCTAATCTCGTTTTAAGATACAAACATTACATTTCAATGGATTTTTAACCCGTTTTCCCCAAACAACAGCATGTAAATTGCATTGGTTTGTCATCGAAACCAAACTGTAGTCATTTTGAATAGTACAAGCAATCCTTTTAAGTTTTCACAGCCTTCAATGCACCAAGGGAAACATTTTACATGGAAAAAAAAAATCCTGTCACACCAAACAAATGTCTCAAAAAATGGTGTAGTATATATCTACCACATATGAATTTAATGAAACCTATTTATTTGAAAACTAATTTTTCTTGTGAATGAATGGCAAAAGGTGACAGAGGCTACTTGTAGCTTCCGCCACCTAGTGGCAGACCCTTGAAATGTTTTGCCTGCTCCTGGCATAGATACAGTATTAAAAAACAGAGCCCCCCAACCCCCACCCCCACACGCACACACTAATCTGCATGATGAACAATAGCCATAATTGACCTTGATATGAACCAAACAGAAAAACAGACCAGATACGAAACAGGTAGACCTCTGTTTGAAAAAAGGAAATCACTCCCTACCGTGGTGTGAGACCTGGCAGTCGGAGGAGGAGGCTCGCTTTTCGTAGTTAGTTCCTCTGCGTCTTCGGTTTGGTGAAGATTGACTCCCGTGCTGCAAGCTGTGCTCTCAAATCCCGCACTTTTGTGTTACGTAAAAGTGTTTTTTTTTTTTTGCAGGGAAGTCCGTCTCATGGCTCCCCTGTTCCGTTCTGAAATGCCGCTCCAGGTTCGCTTTCTTCGGCCATGCCACCGTTGCATTGCAAATCAAACAAACAGGCTTTGAATGAAAATAAAGCCAAAACATTATTTTGCTCCAACTCACGGTGAAAATTGTAGCCCTTGGCTCGATTCCACTTAGCCATGTTGACGTTTCGGTGTGTGCAACCGCTGTTATCGCTAGCTGCTCGCTACGGTTGACAGCGGTCAACTTCCAGCTGTGTTCCGAACTCATCGGGAAGGAAAGTAGCTCTTGGCTGTCGTAAAAGTCGTGAAATGTTGTCATCAAGGCGTGTGATTTACTTGGGGATGTTGTTTTTTTTTCTTTTGTAATTTTTATTTGTTGTTGGGGTTTTTTTTTTTTGGTTTATTTTAGACAAATAAAAGTTTACATTTACATCCAGCCCTGACTGTAAACTTGGCGGGATCAGCCAGCAGCAGCTTCATTTGGGGGCGGGGCCTGATATGAGAGAGCGACTACGCTCTCTCTCATCAGTATCGTGACTCTAAACATGAACGTCGAGCTGGAAAACGATCGTGCAGGACAGGGGTCCCCAACCTTTTTTGCCCCACGGACCGGTTTATGTCAGACAATATTTTCAGGGACCGGCATTTAAGGTGTGGCGGAAATAATACAACAAAATAATATGGTATGAGCTGCATGAAAACTGTGGTGTTTTCGAAATATAATAATAAACACAAGGAGCGTCTAATCTGGCCGCAACACTCTGATCGCTATGGTAATGTTTAATGCCTTCAAAATACGAT